GATTAAAAATATGCAACTACTAAAAGCAATAAAAATATTTTGTCCATTGTAGGCACCATGCACCTCCTTGTTTTGAGTTTTATACATGCCTGTGCACACAGACAGGACCCCCCTATGTGCATGTATGCACGCATGCACACACAGATACATACAAGGTTCTTTTTGGAAAAATGGCAACTGTCGACTGAGGGTGGAACCACTGTGGCACTGACACAACATCATCATCTCACTCTTCATTAATCACAAGTGAAAGAAAGCCCTTTGGACAATATTTCATCATAAATTTCTATAGCTTATCTCTCGATTAATGGTAGCTTAGCCTTATTTCTTTTTTTTAAAGCAAGCTTTGTTCCACTACTGTATTAAGTACTTTCTATACTGAGTTTCTTTAATCATCACAACAACCTTATGGACTAAACTATTATCTCCATTTTAATAATAAAGAAACTGAAGCACAGAGAGGCAAAGCAACTTGCCCAAGGTCACACAGCTAATAAGTAGTAGAGCTGGAAGTTGAATCCAAGCAGATTGACCCCAGAGAGGTTATTCCCAGGCATGAGGCTCTCACACATCATGTTAGTGCATCAAGCCACAACTTGGGCTGGACAGCTGTAAGGGATAGAGATGCCTGCTGACTGAGGTCAGGACGCCTGAGGTCAGGCTTTGTTTAAATAGCATTTACAGGGCCTTTACATAAATTCAGGAAACAGACACAAGGGAGCCAACACACAGGTGGGGTGGCACAGAAGCTGGCTCCCTGAGAGCCTCCCCACGTCAAGCAGAGGGTCTCTAAGCACACCTGCTTTTTATATCTGGGACACCAGCTTGGAGCACAAAGTCGGAGAGACAGAAATGTGACTAGTCCTGGGAGTGATCCTTGTATGGAGAGGTGGCCAAAGCTGGGGGACCTGGGCAGGGACCTCAGAGAGACACCGGGAGCTTCATGGAGTTTCTAAATGAGTGGAAACTGGGGCTAATGTGAATGTAAACCATATTTATAAAGCCAGATCCTCAGGACTCCTGGCAGTGTAATCATCCAGGCTGACAATTCTTGCTTCCAGGAGTGTGGGAAGCTAAAGATGAATCACAGGCCAAAGTCCACAGGCTGACCTCAGCGTGCACATCCCCTGAGACAGGACAAGCACAGAGACAGGAAGCACTTGGCTGAATTGGTTTTCCCATTTTTCATAAGAAACACTCAACTTAATAAAAAATAGCCATACTTTATTGACAATAATAGCTACCCTTTCTCTATTTCCTTACCAAGTGCCAGGAAACTCTATTTACCTCAGTTCTTCAGAGTAACTCTGTAAGGCAGGAACTATCACCTTCATTTCAAAGAAAAATGAGGTTCTGAAAGGTCGTATAATTAGCCCAAAGTTACTAACCTAGTAAATGTTAGTCGCAGTTCTAAGCTGGGTCTGTTTGACTCCAAAATTCACGATTTTTCCACTGTTTTCAATTTTTCACACTACCATCAACCTCCAATGACTCCACAACCAACCACCTAAATGTGGGTGCGTGCACACAGACACATACATGCTTGCATACACAGTTTTGCCAATTTAACTTGAGCACCCAGGACACAGATCTTGCTGCAGTGCACCCATTTCCCTGCATGAGCTCTGATTCATCAAATCCAGGAGCCGAGTCATGGGTTGAGAATGAGCAAGCTACCAAGAGAACACAGAGTCCAGGCTCCTGTCACTTGAAAAGGTGACCAGTCTAGGGCTGGGTAGAGGCTGAGCTGGGATTTGGTCCCAGGCATGCTGGTCCCTAGGCAGGGTCCTTCCACTACACCACAGGGCTGGTGATCAAGAATTCATTTCTGGGCGCTGGGAATACAGAGCTGAAAAGGCACATTCCTGGTCCAGAAAGGATCCCACAAGCTGGCAGATGTGTTGAGACAGTCCACAGGTAACTGAAGCACATGGCATACAGTGGGAAGTGGCCCAGGAGAACAGAGTTCTACAGATGTTAAGAGGATGAATCACATCCAGCTGGGGACACTGGGGAATGAGGCCATGGGGAGAAGGGGGAGGAAATGAACGCTTTGGTGTATTTGCAAGAAGGCACATCACACTAGTCATTTTACACCAACAGCCCTATGAGACAGGCAGAGCACATTTTACGGACAAGGTGGACAGACAGGAGGTGACCTACCTGAGGTCACAGTTACTGGGGGAGTCATGCAAATGAATGGCTTTGTCTGTCTCCAAAGCCCATATTCTCTCCATTATAACAAACTTACAGTGTTGCCGTGGAGCCCTGGCAGCTTGGGGGCTCAGGAGCAGGCCAGGTAGGTGAGGCTCAAGCCCCAACCCAAAGTTGCACCTCAGAGGCTCTGCTTTGCATATGTATTTATAGATTGGGGTTCTGCAAGAGATTCCATTTGTAAAAAAGCTCTGCTATTAATAAAATCGAGTCTGAAGCCCTCTAGTACCAGGTGCTATCTGGCAAGTGACTGGGTCAGGCCCTGGGCGTTGGGCAGGGCGGGGAGGGCATGTGGGCCCTGTATGGCAGTGAGGGACAGTGGCTGAGCAAGCCTGCTAAGAGCGACGCTGCCTGCGTTCACAGCCAGGCTTCCTGCCTGCCCACTGTGAGGCCTTGGGCAAGGTACCCCCAAGCTTTGGCCTCCTCACCTTCAAAACAGGGGTGGGACTGGTACCTACTTTGTAGGGCTGTTAAGAGGATTACATGCTCCAAGAACTTGTCGCTGCCCCTAAGGAGCTGCTGTGATCCTGAGCTCTGCCTTGCATTCTCCTGGCCTTGATTAACATGGTTGTGAATGAATGGGACGCACACCTGAAAGGCGAGGGAGGTCCAGGTGCCTCAACCCGCAGAACCGTGGCTGTGGCCCCATCGCTACTTGTGGCTGGTTCAGCAAGAAGCTCAGTGGAGTCTGGCTTCAAGTGATGATGTCAGTAACCCCAAGCCCCCAAACTAATTTACTGCCACTGCTCAGACAGATGGCCACAAAACCCTCAGCTCTCCCCATAAGCTCGACTTGGCTTTTACAACCAAAAGGCCTAGGACAGAGGGAGGCAGTGTATCAGCGCAGCCCGGCCCCTGCAGGCCTGCTTCGCTGGCTAGATGGGGCCTTGCCTGGGGCAGAATTCTGCAGGGCACAGTGGGGTCCCTTTCTGGTGCTTTCCATCAAAGACTGTTGGTGAATTAAGTTCCCAGTGAAGGGTTCCAAGGCTTATGGGATTTTCGTCTGTCCCGTTTGCACCTGCACCCCAGTGCAGAGCAGCCACGCATCCCTGTGAACGAGTGGGTGATGATGACATCCAGGGGTCTCTAGCCCCTGCATCCTCCCGAGACAAGAAGCAACTGGGTACAGAGCCTCCGCGGCCATTCACTCAACGACTAGCTGCGTGGGATCTTCTCGCCACTGCCCTGCTGTGACTGGCCTACCTGTCACCTCAGCCGGTAGCACCGCCACTGGGCCTGACAATTTCTCTTTGGAAAGGTCTGACCTTTTCTCCCTTCCCAGTGGAAGGGAGGGTCACTTGCTGCAGAGCACTGAGCAAGAAGGTCAGCCTGTGCTAAGCACACGTCTTGCTCCTTTCATGCCCGCTCTGCCAGAAACAAAGATGTTAGGGCTAGAAACACCCATGCAAGTCACTCATCATGGAAGAGATGAGGAGAGCAAAGCCCTGAGACATGAAGCGAGTAGCCCAAGGTCATGGAGCCGGCTGCGGGGAGGGGCAGGCCGCGACACAGCTCTTTGCACGGCACTTCCAAGGGGCCTCTGTCTGCCTCATGCAGGTCAGAAAGTCTTGGAAAGTGTCCCTAAACCATGCATTCTCCTTCTATACCTTATACACACAAAATAAACCTACAGTATATACACAGATACAGATTTTATATATGTATGTGATATGTATATACCATACACATGTATGTATACATGTACATATATAAAAACTATTCTATAGTCCCAAGTACATTAAGCTCAATTCCCCTTATTTTATACTGAGCTATTACAGAATAGAGATAACTGAAGAGATGGAGGAAAGTCAGAAATGCTGAGTGTGAGAAAGGGGAGACATGTAATTTGTAAAAAGATTTTCCATATTCTAATTGCTTTGACTTTTTTTTCAGGTGCAATATTTAATGTGATTTGAAATTTTTAACAGAAAAGGAGAGCATTCCAATTTTTATGTTTATAAGAAGGGAGTATGGCTTAAATAAAAATATTGGGCAATACTGTGTTGGAACTCATAGCACAGGACAGCTTTGGAAATTGTCTGGTCCAGTTCCCTGTTTAAAGATAAGGACATTTCCACCCAGAAAGGTTAAGTAACTGCCGGTCTAAGGTCAATAGCTGTTTATTTGCTCCCGAGGGGAGCGGCCATGTGGACTTTATCTGTTGCATGTCTATGGCCCTGCACCAAAGGGAGTCCAGGGTTTGTGGTTGACCCACTGAAGGGAATTTACTGCACCAAGGATGTAAAGACACAGAGGGAAAGCAGGCTCCCCAACACACCTGGATGTTTTTTAACAAGGAGGATTCTTGGAGAAGGAGAAATTGAATCTGAGGCTTTAGCCACAAGCCTCGGGGTAGCTCCCCAGCAGCCCCCACACACTGGGTACCCTTGGCTCCAGCCCTTCCTTCGTGTAAACCCTGGGGAGACTCCATCTTGCCCTCTCTTTGGGGGTCAGGCTACAGGATCAATTCCTCAAGCCACCACTGTCCCTTCCCTTCGTCACCTACGAAGGCCACCGAAAAGTTGGACGGACGGCTCCAGTCTAGTGCCACTTCCCTATTCAAGCCATGTTCTGTCATGCGTTCTGATAGGACCGAGCATTTCGGTAGAAGGGCTACAGCTCCTGAAATAGTTATCCTGTGAGCAGATGCAGAGCCCAGGAAGAGTTTACCCACAGCCTTCGGCTAAGACAGACACAGGGCCAGATCCTGTCGGGAAGCCCCAGAGGAGGGGCCTGTCCTCCGAGCAGCGGCTGCAAATGTGCTCACGGTGCAGGAGTCCACTTACCGCAGTGCGACTGGAAGACCTGGGGCTTGACGACCTGATTACAGGCACTGCACACGACGAGACAGAAGTCGTCATGTGCTGGGTAGTGGCCAAATAAGTGCATATCTGTGGGGGAAATGAAAACAGGATTTTTTTGAAAAAGCAATTAAGTCTCAGAAGGTGTACAGTGTCCTCTTGGAATTTCCTCAAGGACAGCTTTTGGAATGAGACAGGTGGAGAGGCAATAATCTCCACTAAAGGGAACACAGTTTGTCCTACCGCAGCTCCCAGTTTTCAGAGACACAACTGCCTCAAAGGATCCCTCCTCACTGCACCCTTGGAAATGGGACTGCGATCACCAGTGTTGGGGGGCTGCCCTGAGCCATCAGCTGGGACCCAGTGAGGCTCTAGTTATTTTAGGATGGGGGGCTCCCCAAACCCACTCTGATGTAAGCAGAGGGGTCTCTTAGGTGAATGGGAGGGTGGAGGGACCTGGGGGAGACAGAGAAGTCATCTTGGCTCACCAGCTGCCTGTGCAACCCCAAGGAAAAGGGAAGCCTTAGGCCGAGTGACGTATTGGCTGCTGACATTATCCATTATTCATTCGGCTAGTATTCGCCAAGTGCCTTATGGATCAGGAGAACCAGTGACCAATGAGGACCCTGCTCTCCTGGAGCTTATGGTGGCAGGAGAGAGAAACATTAAAGAGCAGCCACACAGCCATCATTTGGTTGTGCCTGTGGTATGTGCTATGGAGATGCACAGCGCCCCATGAGTGGTGGACTTAACTTTGTCTGAGGCACTGAAGAGGCTTCCCTCAGGAGGGGGTGTCTGAACTGAGATCTCAGGACAAGGGGGGCTTGGACAGACAAGGCCTAGGGTTGGGGAGGAAAGTACCAGGTCTGCCAAGGTAGGCAGTTCTGTGTGTTGGAGGAAACCTGTGGCTGGAACAGAAGAGTGAGGGGAGAACCCAGAAGCTGTAAGCCTTGTGGACCAGGGATTTTGAACCTGATTTTAAGAACAATGGGAAGCTACTGAAGGTTTCTAAGCAAAGAAGTGACATGATCAGACATAACACTGTTAAAAAGATTAGTTATGCAGCCTAAGAAACATGAATACATATGACCACACAAAAACTGTACATGCATGTTCACAGCAGCATTGCTTATAGTAGACAAAAAGTGGACACCCTGATATCCGTCTACTGGTGAATGGATGAACCAATTTTGGTAAAAACCAGACAATGGAATACTATGCAGCCATGAAAAGGAATGAAGTACTGATTCATGCTTCAGTATGAACTTTGAAAACATTATACTAAGTGAAAGAGGCCAGACACACAAAACCAACATGTGGGTTGCATGATTCCATTTATGTGAAATGTCCAGAATAGGTGAATCTATAGATAAAAAATTAGATTAGTGCTTGCCTTAGGCTGGGGGTCTGGAGGGATTGGAGGGTGACCAATAAAAGGTGCAGGGTTTCTTTTTGGGAAATGTACTAGGCAATGTGAGTAAAAGTTATCAAAAAAAAAGGGAAGGCCAGTTATGAGGAAACCCACGGTCACATCTCCCTCCCTGTGCACCACTGGATGGAGGCAGAGCTGGGGACACACGGCCTGTCCCTCTCAGGCCCCTGGCTCTAGAGCTGCTGAGCTCGGGGAGTAGGGTGCTCAGTACCACCAACAGGGCTGACGGAGGAACTGAAGCGAGGAATTAGAAGACAGCGTGTGCACGAAAATGCTTTCTGTCCCAAGCCTCCTGAACTTTCTCTCCCAGGCACCCTAAACACTCATTCTCTAGATCCAACCTGTGTCTAATGAAAACCACCACACACAAGATGGGCCCGCAGCTGCAGGGCTGGGCCTCAGGCCCCAGCTGAGTTCCCTCGCCGAGAACCCAGCAAGCACTTCAGCAGGGGTGCCTGTGCCCGGGGTTCTTTTGCTTAGAGGGAAATGGAATGAGCACATCTGTCACGGGCAAGGAGTGGGGCCCCTGCCCTGGATGAGGCGCGACTGCTGGGGTGAGACGGGCTCTTGCTGCAGGGACCCCTCCCCCTAGCCCCACAGCGGGTGATAGGGGAGTGCTGGGATGCAGGCCCATGGAACCTCTTGCTTGTCGGTGGCCCCGGGTGTGGCCTGTTACTTCCCCTATCTAGGACTCGCCTCTATGTCCACTTCTGACTAAGACTTGTTATGGGAGGGGAGCGTTATTAGTCAGAGCATGGCAGGTGGGGAGGCCTGCGGAAAAAGAGGCAGAGACAGAGCCAGCTGTGACAAGAGTCCTGAAGCCATGCTGGGCCCGCCCAACGTAGTGTCCAGGGACCCTCAGTTCAGGCCTCCCAGTGTAGACAGGACGCCTCTCAGTCCTTAACTGCTGATATGGCTGATGTTTTACTTTTTACTTATGGGTTGATTATTGTTACATATTCTTTTTTCTTTTTTAATGACAGAAGTAATCAATGTTCTTTGAAGATACATTTGAGAAACATAAAAAAGCCAGAATAAAAAAAAAAAATTCTTGGCAACCTTTATTAACACTTTGCATCTCATTCAGATTTAGTTACATTTTATATCCAGGAACATGTGAAATCAGGCGCTGGTGAGGGCTGAGACTTAATTATTCAGCAGGCATTTAATGAGCTGTCTTACATCCTCTCTGCAATAGATCAAGCTATGAGGGAATTATATAAATAAATTAATTAAAAAACAAAACTTTCTTGAGCACCTGCTTTGTGCCAGAGCTGTGCTGAGGGAGGCTGAGACTGCAGAATAGCAAGCGTGTCTCTGCACCTTTGTGGTACATGCCTGGGGATGTGTCAGAGGCCATGAGCACTCCATTTGAGGTCCCACTTCCCTATTCCTTCTGAAACCTGTAGAGCCTCCACCACCATAACCCCATTTGTACACACACCTCTATGTCAGGAGTCGAAGGTCAAGAAAGGTTAGGCTAGCCAGAGCCTGGCCACCTTCTGCTCCAGGCCCTTCACCCCATGGGGACCCCTCTTGGTTTCCTCTAGGGCCCTTTCCACATGGCACGAGTCTGCTTAGAGCACATCTCATTGCAAAGGGAGAGGACCTGCTTGCCTGTTTCTCAGTGCGCCAACCTTAAAACCTCCTCCACAGGCTGCCCGGCTTCTGAGACCTGGCAGACGGGAGCAAGAGAAGGGTGCTGGGCTCCTGGGAAGGCCACCACTTCACGGGCTCTGGTGGTCATGGCCAGGGTCTGTTTACTCAGGGAGGGAGGAGGTAGGATGGGGAGAACTGACAACGATTATACCTGACACAATGCCAGGTATTCTATTAATTAATTCTCTCTCTCAATTTACCACCCCAACAAAACACACGGGGCACAGTTAAAGATAAAAGCAGTGGGCTTGGACCAGCTTTTGAGAGCCGGTCATGCATATCTCTCCCCGGCTCATTCAGTGGGCTCCTGGTGGCAGCCTGAAATCAGCCACTGGGGTCTACACTGAGGAAATGGACAGGCACTACAAATCAGGTCTTGTCTTCTCTTTCCTGAAAGCCGCATGATAAAGATGGGAAGAAAGGGAAAAGTGGGACCATGTCAATGACACCACCTAGGGAGACCCACTGTTGACATGTTAATATATACCCTTCTAGACTTTGTTATGTGATAACATTTTCTTAGTTAATCCTCATGATTAGCTTACAAAGGTTTATCGTCTCCACTTCCCAGGCAAGGAAACAAAGGTAAAGTAATTTGCTTGAGATCCTATGGCAATGATTTAAAAAGTGGGATGAGAATCCAGGATGCTCTGACTCTAAAGCCAATGCTCCCTCCTCAGCAAAGGCTGCTTCTTTCATAATAGAACAAGGTCCCATTTTGCAGATGAAACCAGTTTGGAGGGGTTGTCCAGATGACTAATGGGCTGTCCTAAGGCTCCAAGTGAGCTGTTGGCAGGAGCATAGGCCTGGGGTCAGAGGAGGGGTTTAGAGCACAGTGCTCACTGCTGTGTGACCCCAGGGAAGGTGCCCAACCTTTCTGACTGTCAATTATTTCATCTATGAAATGAGGCTAACAGTTCTTGCCTCCCGGGGTTGCTGTGATGGGTCCTAAAAGCTGCCTGGCTGTGTGTTCTCTCCCACTGGGGATTTGGGACAGCGCAGAGAAACTTTCAGCAAGGTCATCTCCTCTAGTTTTCAGAAGGACATAGTTCTCTCTCCAGTGGGAGCGTCCTGGCTGCAGGCAACACATTCTATGCCTCTTCCTCACCACATTCACAGTAAACCTCCTGGGAAGCCTGGGGTCCCTTCAAGCTGTGGCTGGATTCTGAGAAAATGGGCACCAAGGTGATGAGACTGCCCGGTTTCAAATCCAGTGATCATCTCTCAAAGAGACAGAGCCAAATCTGTCTGTTTTGCCCCATTGTGCTTCTCAAATGAATCACCTGTAGATGAGACAGAGTGCTAGCACCCCCATGACTCGGTCATCCTCCTGGCTTGATCAAAGGCAGGATGAGAGCAATCTCTATTAGCCCCATTTTGTCAATGGAGAAAACAGAGGTACACTTGCTTCCAGGTCAATAATTTTTGGTTTTGACCCCAACCCACTATATATACATGCACATACATATCTATCCATCCATATACCCACCCAACCATCTACCATCTCTCACTGGAACATGATGTTACACTCTGATATGTTCTGTTCTACTCATTTCCTGTTTTATTCTTCTATTTGTTTAAAAAACGCTTTCAGGACCCCTCAATGGGTCACAGCTTCAAGTCTGAAAACCACTCTTCAAGTGAGTCAGGGGCTAAGCCAAGCCTGAGAATTAACTGGGGCCACGAAGGCCTGAGCTGGTCCTCAGTGGGCACCTGGAAGGGTAAAGCCATGAACCGAATCCTTAGTGCCAATTACATGCTGGAGCCCATTGTACCAGCTCACAAGAGCAGATTGTTCTCTCTCCCCAACTCTGCCTTCAGGGAGCCAAGTTGGTAGCCTGAATCAGCCAAGGAAGAAGTATTTACACCATGGGAATCTGCATCCACTACAAACCAGGGCTGCTTCTCTTGGAGAGCTGGCTGTTAAAATATTTACCAGCACATCACTAATTAGCTCCCATTCTGGCATCACTCTTCCCTGGATCAATTTTCCTAGTTA